GGGGGGGGGGGGGTTTGTCTCAAATATTTTGTGGACGATTGTAGACCAATCCCCACACCACTTTATCAACACAACAACAACAACAACAACAACAACAACAACAACAACAACAACAACAACAACAACAACAACAACAACAACAACAACAACAACAACAACAACAGCAACAACAACAACAACAACAACAACAACAACAACAACAACAACAACAACAGCAACAACAGCAACAGCAGCAACAGCAGCAACAACAGTACCTGCTACCTGTAATAACCATAATGGCTAATAAGATTAGGCAGCAGAAACAAGTCTGACTGAGTTTACGAATTTAGAAGTTACTTAAGAAGGAGAAAAAAGAAAAAAAGCTCGAAAAAACACAGCGACCTACTCAGAATAATTCTGAAAACCCTGTCTCTCTTGAATCTCGTCAACTACGTAACCTGCCCGAATCATATCTCCTTTTATCTTCTCTCTGATGTCAGAACTTACAACCCCAGCTTCATGTATTTATGATATCACTTAATGTTTTCCAGAACCCAGCCATACTGACGGCGTTCGAAATGTATTCATCGTGCATGAACACGACAGCAGTGGAGAAATTTGGAGATTCAGAATTGAGAACACTTCTCGTTGAGCTCGCAGATTTTAATATGACCAAGAATAGAAGTTCCAGTTATGATTGGCAGAATTTTGTGGTGAAAATGAAACGTCGACTTAATGTGGATGCATTTTTTAAACTGGACGTTTACGACGACCTGAAGAATACTTCGCTACGACGCATTACAGTAATGTGATAATTTTACTTCATTATTTTGTATATAATACAATGTTCAGGTTACAAACGTAGGCTTAATTTTATTTTACTTTGCTTTCTACTTTTTTCATACTTTGTAGGTGTTTGCAGTTCAACTGCCTCTACATCACGAGTATTACACAGCTCAAAACGTTACTCGGGAAGCACAGGTAGGCTCATTTTCAGATATCGAACAAAAATGGAGAAACTAAACTAAAACTAAACTAAGCTGATTGCACTATCTGTTCCAAAATGTTTTCCTTAGATGTCCAGGACGAATCATCCCATATAGACCAGCGTTGCAACAGGAGGAAACGGAAGGTGGATCGAAGACTAGGGGGGGGGGGGGGGCTAAGTTCTTACAGATAATAAAACTATTGTTCCTTTCAGTCTGTTCAACTTGTGGGGGGGGGATTTTGAATTTTGAGTCTCTGGAACGCTGTTTCCTCCGTTTTGAGGATACTTTGCGGAACGATACTTGTTTTTGTGGTAAATTAGGAAAAGCAAACAAACTTGTTAACCAATTCGACTTTCATTTCGTTTAATTACATGGCTGAGATCTTCCTCCAAAAAGTTGATTCACATCAAAGGAATATCATAAATATTTTTTCTCTAGCTACGCCGTGAGCGTTATCTGCAATTTATGACAGACGTGATGACATTAGTTACGTCAGGAAACCGTACATTTGTGAAGCAAGAAATGGAAAAAGTTTTGGAACTTGAAACAAATATAGCTAAGGTATTTTATATGTTGTTGTTGTTGTTGTTGTTGTTGTTGTTGTTGTTGTTGTTGTTGTTGTTGTTGTTGTTGTTGTTGTTGTTGTTGTTGTTGTTGTTGTTGTTGTTGTTGTTGTTGTTGTTGTTGTTTTGTTGTCGTTGTCGTTGTCGTTGTCGTGTTCTTTATAGATACTGTACAGATAGGGTACAAATGACTTAATCTCATGCTGCTTGTTCTATTCTATGTAGACACAACTTCCATTAAGTAAAAGGAATAATTTCAGTGTGATCTACAACCCAGTGTCCATTGGAAATCTGTCCAATATGACAGAAAAGGTAATTATTTATTTTGGTCGATTTTTTCTCTAAAAAACTCACTCTCTTTGAAAAACTCACTCGTACGTTCGAAACTAGACTTGGATCAAGTCCATCTCTAGAGTCCGAGTCGCGAAGCGACGAGATCGAGCGCTTTCCCGCGTTATTGCACCTCGCGCTCTCCCTCTGACTCTAGAGAGACGGACTTGATCCAAGTCTAGTTCGAAACACACTCAAAAATTGCGTTCGCAGCCATCAATTGATGATGGCATTATCTATCTTAATATTCTGAGCCACATATTAAGTATTCATTTTCTTTTAGTTTGACTGGTTGTCGTTTTTCGGCAACTTAACTGCTGGGTTAGGCTACGTCTTAACTCCGCGAGAAATGTTGTTGGTAACTTCCCCAAAAATGGTGAAAGATATTTTAATTTTGTTAAAAAGCGCCAAACCAAGGTACTTAGCTGATAAACTGTTGTAATAAATAAACTGTTTTGTTATTTTTTGAATCAACAAACATAGGATGCTAGCAGCTAGGTGGCATTTTTTTCTCTTTATAGCGTTATATCAAATTATCTGGCTTGGAGGATTGTCTATGGTTTGATTGAAGTTCTACCTTCAAAGTATGGAAAATTATACAGTGCATATCGTGGTGGTCAATTGAAACCGAAATGGGATACCTGTGTCAAAGAAACATCCAATGCACTTCCTCTTGAGACCACGCTCATTTTTGCACAGCATGCACTACCAAAAGACACTGTGATTGAGGTTAGCCGTAAAACGATGCTTTGATAAAATATATAAGGTGATAATTTAGTGGCGTAGCCAAAGGGGTCAAGGTGAGACTCTGCCCCCGCCGCCCCGCCCCTCATGATCTCCAGAACTGTTCTTGGTAACAGTTGAATTCTCTGCATGAAATCTCTGAAATAAAGGTAAAAATGACTTCCTTCCTAGCTATATTTTCTTTAAGAAAACTAAATGTTATTTGCTTCCAAGTGCAAACGGCCTTGCAAAAATCAAGAATTAGGATTTAAATGCCTAGACATTGGGAATGACGAAATGCTTAACAAATCCTACCCGTTGTCTTCCTTTCATGGACTTCTGTATCGCATAGAGCTTGGAGTGTATGTTATAAGTATTGTACATGTTGAACAATGAAGTAGACAGGTAAAAATACACAATCTGTCACAATGGTCAGGTAAAAGATTAGGGACATTTCAAAGCCTGACCATGACAGCTTATTGTAGAATACTACCTACACTGCTGGACCTCATGCACGTTTGAGATATCTTTACAATTCATATTTAGGCAAGAAGCATGCTGCGCGATGTAAAAGATGTATTCATCAAGATTATTCCTAAACAATCTTGGATGAGTGAAAAATCTCAGAGAGGTGCAAACGAGAAGGTAGATTGATTTACATGCTAAGAAGTGATAATTCGTTTTTCCAATAATACAGAAGTTCAGATTTGATTTTCGCTACCATTACCTTGACCATTAACCAATCAGATGCGTTTGATATATCCGATTAACCAATCAGATGCGTACTAAGTCATGCGAGGTAATTGTAGTGATCAGGGCCGCCGAGAAGGGGGGGGGGCAAATTGCCCCTCCCCCACCTTAATAGGGGCCCAACTTGAGAGCGAAAGCCTAAAATTGAGTGGGTTTTTTCAATTCGTCAGAGCATTTTTGAAATTGAGGGCCCCTTACAGTAGCTCCACATGCAGTCTAGCTAAGGTCTAGTTGGGTGACTGACGTAATGGAAATCTGAACCTCTCTAATAAATGTGGCAGCGAACGCGAGGTTTGATGCCTGGGGCACAGTATAGTTGTCCTATTTTAATTTCGCTCCAGGTATTCGGGTTTCTTCCTGGAGGAACACTGAACTTATAAGGAATGGTGATTACTGGAGCTCTAGGGACAGAATTGATGAACTTGTCCAGTATGAATAAGTTAGTTTCGTATGTAGTTTAGTTTAGTTTAGTTTAGTAACAACCAACGATCAATAGAAACTTAATTTTATTAAAATTTGTCCCTCTAGGCAAAAGCTATGATATTTCATCTTGCGTATCCTGAAAACGTGGCTTCAGAGTCGTTAAAAACCAAAGTAAGTCCTTTCCAACCTCGTTCCCAGGCTCTTCTCTAGTGTGAAGGAATCTCCTTGAGCTTGAGAACGGTGATGGGTCTATGGATATGATAGTGAACTTTATTTAAGCACTGAGGCCTGTCATCCAAATTGAGATGATCTTCCCAGGCGCCGTGACATTTGAATTATTTACAATATTTACAAGAGAAATGAGAATATATAACAAATTATTTCTACAGTTTATTTTGAATACTTTTAGTGAGGTGGAATTCCTAATTTGAGATGACAGGCATTCATGGTGCCTACCATCAGTATATACACGCAAGGGCTTGCATTCCATGGATAGTGTGTTCCATCTTTCAATATAACGCTTTTTATCAAACGACTATATAGCAACCAAGCTTTGTGGTAAACAACACACAAACATGTGTTTTTATACTTTTCAGTTTGAAGTAGACGTCAGTTATTTTACAACATATCAGAAAGTTAAATCGTTCATGGTTACGGAACATTTCAAGTCTTTGAAGACAAGTAAAAATCGAAATGAGTAAGTGGCGTATTGTTCTTTTATATCATTCATTGAGATAATTTATCCAATGTATTCATCGGCTACGAGATGGTTTTTAGTGCAACGCATTTCGCAAAGTAAACTACGATTATTTTCAAATGTATTGGGACAGATCCACCAAATACCTGTTTTTTAACAAAAACTAGCTCCGATCCCCCGCGCCCCCTTCCATTCCTGCCAGGGGGGACTATATGGATATATCTTCTCCAACTATATGCTCCCAGATAGGTCTAAGGTCTATCATAACATTTGATGGTCTATCATAGAAGGTCTATCATAACATTTACCATAACATTTGATGCGTTATGGTGTTTGGATTTGGAGTCCAACATTGATAGGGGAGGGGAATAAAGAGGATTTATGTGTGTAAAAAACTGACTGTGCTTATTGACTTCTATGGTAAAACTGCAGGTGCTCCAAATGCTTGTAGTTAAAAGGTTTGCGAAAACTAGTTTAGACCTACAATCCTGGCAAAAATTATTGTGGACAGCGCGCGCGGAAATAGAAATACCATCCTTGGCCAATATATACAGTACGTGCAAAACAGCAATGTTTAACTCCCTCCTCCCGGTTCAATGTTGAAAGCTTATACATTGGTTAGGTGAAAGCTTTGCGAAATGCATGTCAACACCTTAGACCTATCTGGGAGCATGTAGTTGGAGAAGATATATCCATATAGTCCCCATGGCAGGAATGGAACTTGCGGTACTACGATTCCCGTACAGCGCTTTGGCCACTGAGCTACATAATTCGGTTGCCAAGAACTAACATGCACAAGTTCATGTATACAATACAAGGAATCTCAACAAGTTATGGCCTTATATTGTTATTTACAATAACAATTTAAGGCTTAGACAACAGGACAAACAAAGCCTTAAAAGTTACTGTAGGAAAGAAAACAGATTTAAATTTTCAGATTTAAAGGAAAATTAAACTAGTCTGTGATTATGATTGACCTCGGTCCTCCGAAGCAAGAATAACTATAAGGAATGATTTTTTCAAGGTTCATGGAAAAAGACCCTATGAAACCAACGGCGTTTTATTATCCAACTCGTAATATAGTAGGTACGTATAAACGTGTTTTTCATTGCTGAAGAGCGAGCGAGGCAGCACACTATTCTTCACAGTTCACACAGCTTGCGTCTCTATGAAATAGAAAGGGGAGGACGTTGAGGATGTCAATGTGGAAAAATTATGATCCTGGCAGGGAGTCAAAGAGATCAAGGAGACAAAGGGCTTATTAAAACTCTCCGAAATTTATTTACATTTTTGTATCTTTGTTTTAGGAATTTCTGTTGGTTTTCTTCAAACTAAGTTATTTTCTCTGGAGAATTATAAGTATGTGAAGTTGGTTTTCAAATTTTTACCAGTAAAGATTTAGGATTTGAACGCCCATTTCCCCTTACTACTGAGTTCAGCCCGCTACTGTAGTTCGAGGGTAGGGTATTTTTTACATTAGGTGACTGCGGGTGTTTCCTCAAAGGCCCAGGGCTGCAAATTACTGTCGGACATCGGACAATTTCCGACTAAATTTGGCAAATGTCCGAGCAAAAGTAAATTGTCACATTTTTTTGCTGTCACAAAATCCGATTGCAAGTTCACTCAATTTGCATTTTGCAATAATATTTATGAGGCATTCTAGCATTTAACTTAACGTTGCATCGGAATGGCTATACATACTTTTCTCGTGACTTATATATATCTTGTGACGTATACTGTATATGTCTGACCAAATTTAGTGGAGTTGGTTTTTGTCCGACCAAACTCAAGTTATGTCCGACCAAAATTAAAAGTGATCGGACTAATGTCCTGTCAAGTCAAATATTTATTTGCAGCCCTGAAGGCCCGTTTCAGGTCGTTTACATTCGCACTTTTTGCTGTGATTTTAGGTGCGGTTTTCGTCTCCTGACGGATGTGAACGAGTGGATGAGTTATCCAGGTTCAAATAAGGGTGCATATACTCAGAACATTCATAACTCATCTACTGATTCACATGCGTCAGAAGAATAAATTAACTCTATTTTTCAGTGAACAATATTTGCATACAGTATCTCTTTTGTTTGATATTGTAGATCTGCTAACTTTGGTGTACTTGGTTTTGTCATTGGACATGAAATTAATCATGGATATGATTCAAAGGGTTAGTTACTGTATTATCAATAATCACACTTCGTGACATTTTCACGTCATAATTCAAACTGTTGAAGATAGAAATTCATTGAGGTGGCACAGTTCAGCCTTTTGAACGATGGTTTTTAAGGCGCATTTCAGCCCTTTTAATTGAAAAAACTAACCAGGAAAATCAATTAAGCATAATTCAAGATCAGCAAACTTAATGTTTTTAACATTTTAAAACATTTTTATTGTTAAAAATATTGAGTTCACTGATCTTGAATCATGCATAATTGATTTTCCTAGTTAGTTTTTTCAATTAAAAGGGCTGATATGCGCCTTAAAAACCATCACTCAAAAGGCTGATTCCATAACTGGAGTCGACTGTGCGAAGGCTGAATGGTGATTTTTTCAACTCTCCGACACAATGCCTAAATTAAGGCTGTGAAACTGCGGAAACGGACCTCACAATAAATTTAAATTAAAAACACTTCAATTTATCAGTTGCTAAACTTTACTAATCTTGGTTAATTCAACGGTCAATTTTAGATAGGTTGAAAAAATCACTATCCTATGGATAGTGAATCGATATGACAATGAAAGAGAGACTTGGAGCAAGTCTATTCGTATTGCTGTATTGTATGTAATGTAGCAATATACTGTATATGTACTTTTGGTTCTGTGGTGGGAAAGAGACAAAAAGTTAGAAAGAAGTTTTTGCTTAAATAGGCAATTCCAGCTTTTAGTTTATGCGTGTAGGGGACGATGGGAAGTAAGGTATCACATTGTTGATTATGCTGAAAAAATAGAAATGGTGGCTGTGTAAACACAGAGTGATAGCTTATACTTGTAAATATTGAAATATTTCGGTTGTTTCGGTAGTTTTTATTGAAATTTTTCAGCATAATCAGCAATATGATACCTTACTTCCCATCATCCCCTGCAGGCATAAACTAAAAGCTGGAATTGCCTATTGTTGTGTTGTGCAGGTTTCAGATTTGACAAGTACGGTGACCAACGGAAATGGGTGTCCGACAACTCTTCTAAGAACATCGAGAAGAAGCATTTATGTCTGAAGCGTTCCTACAGTAATTTCACATACAACAATCGTAAGGTAACGCCATGATTTTAATTATAGTTTCTGAAAAACATTGTTTCATTACACGTCTTGCAACTGGTCCACGTCTAGATATCTATTTTTAGCGCGAGTTTAGATTTGCTGCTTGAAAAGTTTGCAAGTTCGGAAGAAGATACTAAGACACTACTATTAATTTTACTTATCTATCTTTCTGATTGTCGAAAACCGATTGTTGAGAAATTGCGCACTTTAAAAATTATATGCAGTATAAACATGTTACGTTGGAAATTATCGTTAAAAAATCGACATGAATGACGTCACCTTTACTCGGTCGACTGATATTATGACGTCATTATAAAATCGGCATCTGGCAGATTGTGGCATGTATAATCGATAAGAACGATAATTTCGGTCACTAAAGTTTAGCATATTTTGCGCGCTATACGATCGCGTGGGTGCCTGTGTAGTACCTGACTCTTCCACAGTCCCTCGCTATATTTGAGTACGGGAGAATATGCCCGTTCGCGGGTTAGGCGTTGACAGACATGCCGTCATCCAACGCATCAGGGGTAGCACTAGAGATTTATAGATTTATTGTCAGACCTGTTTTCGCTCGATATTTACAGAGTGAATCGATTGAGTGCAAAGTCCGGTTGAATTGATCTCGAGTGTATATCAGAAGTCGGGTAAATTAGATTTTTTAACGTATTTTACAGCTGGGCAGTGTTGGCGATTATCTTCAACAATATTGTGACATTGGAGGCTTAACGCTCGCATTTGAGGTGAGGATATTTTTCTGTGAGATCAAGATGAGGATATTTTTCTGTGAGATCAAGATGAGGATATTTTTTCTGTGAGATCAACTACTTAGTTGATATCTTTTGTGTCATGGGATTTAAATCAAGCCATCTAGTCTAAGGGTGTTGACAACCTCGTAACCCTGGGTGCGAGGTTGGGTGTTGATGGCTTCTGTTCTGCTTGTACTCCGCAACCGATAGTCGTGCCACAGAGTACTAACCATGCAGAGGTCTCACTTCGCGGGCAAACGTAAGTACTGTAGTTTTTACCGCGCATTTCTGGCAGCCATGTTCTTAGTAAGTGCCCCAAAGAGAGGCATTCACCCCCCTGGAATATTAGATATCAATATGCTTTCAGGAGGAACATGGCGGACTGGGAAAATCCCTTACGCGGAAATTAATAAGAGATGAGACCTCCGTATGGTATTTATACTCTGTGGTCGTGGACATAATTGTTACAGGTTTTCCCTTCATCACTTGCCCCCTTCCCAATGTTGCTGCTATTTTTAACGCAATTAGCCATTCCGAAGTTGACGAGTGGACTGGGGACGAGTGTTAAAAAGTGTCCAAATTGAGAAATGAACCAAATCACTAAAAAGACCACCTCAAAATTAGTAAGTATACAAAGTTTGAAGACGTTTACATGAATACCCTTCGAATAATAAGCTTTCGAAAATCCGATATTTACTATGAAATGTATTGCAATTTTTGTTTTTGGGACGCGCGTCCCAAAAACAATCTTTGAATCAATAATTTCATAATTTTCGAAAGCTTATTATTCGAAGGGTATTCATGTAAACGTCTTCAAACTTTGTATACTTACTAATTTTGAGGTGGTCTTTTTAGTGATTTAGTTAATTTCTTAATTTGGGCACTCTTTAACACTCGTCCCAAGTCCACTCATCAACTTCGGAATGGCTAATCCGACAACATTGACTAGGGGAAAAGGGCCTCGCATAAGGTACAGGTATCACGCAACAATTTAAACTCTAGCAGAGATAATGTATACCCAAGTTGCCTCTTGCAGGATCTCTAGGTCTTTGGAGACCATTTTAGATCTAGTAGAGCTAACCATCGTATAAACTAAGTTTGTTTAGTTCAGCAAGGCTTACGCATGTCATGTATTATTGGCAAGCTATGGAACACGTTAGCTGAAATAGGAAATTTGTTTTCAGGCATACAAGGAATGGAAAAATCACCACAGCGAAGACGAAATCTTACCTGGACTTGACATCACACATAATCAATTATTTTTCCTTTCATATGCACAGGTATAGAACTTCTTGCTTTTCAAGGCTCCTTTCTCTCCTGTTATATTCATGCAAGTATAGGAATCATTAGGAAACTAGTATCATTCAGAAGAGACTGCATGCCTCCACCATCAGTGCATGAATTACACATTTTTCAATTACGCTTTAATCAGAACTTTACAGCCCAGAGAAGCGGGACGAACCTGTTAGTCGACCGGCCAAGGTGGCAAAAAGTGCCTCTAAAGAGAGTTTGATGGCAACTTTATGTTAGAAGCTGGTAACAGGCATTTTCTTATAGTTCAAGCCTTGGTGAATAAGACTATATGTGTTACCACTTCTGATTTTTGCTTTATAGCCAAAAAATTGAGAATTTTTAAATTTTGCGTATTAAACTACTATGATGGCAAAAAATGTAAAATTTCATGTTCTCTTATACAAAAAATAAACTATGCCACTAGAAAGATCGCAAAAAACTATATATAGGACAATTAAGCGACTAGTGCGGTTTTCAAGCCGATTTTGAATTGAAGATGGTTAAAGTTGGCAAAATGGGTACTAATTAGCATTAATTTGGTAATTTCTGCATTTTTTAGCATTAAAAACTCGAAATAGGATTGGAAAAATGTAGAACTCATGTAATTGTCTTACATATAGTTTTTTACGCTCTTTCTAGTGGTACAGTTTATTTTTCGTATAAGAGAACATGAGATTTTACATTTTTTCCGATCATAGTAATTTAATAGGGAAAATTTAAAAATTCTCAAATTTTTGGCTATAAAGCAAAAATCAGAAGTGGTAACACATATAGTCTTGTTCACCAAGGCTTGAACTATAAGAAAATGCCTGTTACCAGCTTCTAACATAAAGTTGCCATCCAGTTGTACAAAATGATGACTTGGCCAGCCGTCTATGTGTTGATTTTTCATCTAAACTGAAGTCTAATCGATTTGTTCTTGGCCTGTATCCATTAGTTTCACAAATTTTTAGACACACAAATGAACCGAGGTGAAAACATAGTAAAAAATGGCGAGTTTAAGGGCATAATAGGTGAAAACCCATCATCCCTTGCGCGCTCAGAGTTTAAGTTTGACGTTTTGGAAGGACAACATTAATTGAATCAGCTGTATAAGAACCTGTTTAGGCTAACTTGAAATATCTAGGTTCTTATACGCGGGGTTTTAACCGAGATCGATCTCGATCCGATCTGAGTAGACCACTTCTGCTAGATCGATTCATTCCAGATTGAACTGAATTTATCAAAGTGCTTTCCATAAGAACCTAACAAAACAATTATTTTTCTTTTATACTGACAGATGTGGTGCGCAAAGTACAAAAATTCTGCGGTAAAGCGCATGGTGAAGGAAGGAGCCTACCCGTTCTCGTTGAGGGTGCAAGGAACCGTCATGAACTCTCAGGAATTTGCTGACGCGTTCTCGTGCGCCCGAGGAACGGCTATGAATCCCAAGGAGAAATGTAAGGTTTGGGAAACATGAATTTAGATTTTTAACAACCGTTTGTGGCTCGATCATGGACATATTTGCAAGCCTGTGAAGTTGGAGTATAAATACATGTATATAATGCAATAGCCATGGCGTGTAAAGTATAAGGGAATCTGTATTTGGACTGTATTGGGAAATAGAAGGAACAAGATTTCTTCTCTGAAATATTAAATTCTGAGGTTGGATGGAAAAAAGCGCTGGTTTGCCGGTAAACAACATCATGTATTTGCATCTGTTCATGAACCATACATACTACAGTAAATTCCAAAAAGCCTTTTCGAAGTTAACTGTTTTTCTTAAAGAATAAGATGGATTTGAACTCTATACCGCAGAATTGAACAACTATAAATATTCTTGCTGATGCCTTGTAACGTGAGATGCATTATAGAATTGATGTCTAACAAGGTTAAAACCGTTTCAAATGTTTATTCAAAAGTTTCAGTAGCTTTGCACTCTCTCTTCACCACACTGAACAGACATCGGGGACATTCAAAATGTTCACCTGAATTGTATAAAAAAGTGTATATGTAAAGTTGTTTTTTATTAAATTCTTTGAGTATTTCACTCAACAGATTGCAGAGGTGCAGAAATTCAATTGTTTTGCCCTGTGTGCCCCTCAGACATGACTCTCATCCCATGAGTCCTCGAGTGGAATTTCGGGCAGATTTTAAACCTCTTAAAAAATCCTAAACTGGTAACTCGTTTGAATTAATAGTCTGTGCAAGGGATTTAACGGCTTTGAGTTCGTTTTTTAATTAGCTTATCGGATAAACCAGTATTTTCCAACAATTTTTTTTCACTACGAATCTGTTTTTCCACCAAGAAAAGTTGGATTTTTTATATATGTTTGAAAAAGACAAATCATCACTCGTGCAATGGATTTGTCTAAAACGGAGTAAATACCATGCAAGCTAAAATGATCGTGTTTTGTGATTGACTTCATAAAACAATAATAATCAGTGACGACTCGTTCTTTAGAAAGATAACTTTATTGTAGTATAGTTTATTGTCTTATTGTTATCATCAACCAATCACAAAGCCCGTTCATAGCTTGGTGCATGGCGACCCCTCAGTAAAACGAGGAGGATGCACCCGCACGTAATGTATGCTAGTGACGCGCAACATAGACAATTGAAAGGAATTCCTCTCGCCAGTGAACACTGGGAACGGGTGACAGAGCGCATTGGTGGGGACCTCGTGTCCTATTGTTTGTTCGGGACCTCGTGTCCTATTGTTTGTTCGGGACCTCGTGTCCTATTGTTTGTTCGGGACCTCGTGTCCTATTGTTTGTTCGGGACCTCGTGTCCTATTGTTTGTTCGGGACCTCCTGTCCTATTGTTTGTTCGCCTAGTATATGTATTTATACTGAATTTTTTAAAATAACTATAGATAAGGATGGGTGACTGCCCTGCACAACCACAAGCTTGATCCACTTGGTTATAGTAGAGTTGTGGGTTGGTTCACCCCTGTGCTTCGAGGGTTTTCTTTCCTTACCAAAAGCTAACCCTCCCATTTTACTGTGCTCCGTGGCAGCCAGAGGCGCCCTATTACTATAGACTCCCTATTACGAAAGCTTACTAGCTTTCGGTCGAGCTGCTCTCCTTGTAGTTCAGCACTTAGCTGCAATGAAGAATTTTTAGTATACCTTTACCTAAAGCTTTGTTTTCAAGTTGGTATTCTATCGAACATATAAGTCGTTATATGATGCTCATGAACATGCCGTACAACAATATCATCAGGACCTTCCTGCTATACTTCCCCTTCGCAATTCATCATTCCCTCAATTTGATTGATGCCCGTTTAACACACTTGCAATTTTTGCTGCGATTTCAGGTGCAATTTTCTTCATCTGATGATCGATGTGGTGAACGAGTAGACGCAAAAAATAAAAACCGCAGCAAAAATGTCTTCTTTTAATTAAGGCCCATTTCCACGGACAGAAAGTTTTCCGAAAATATCATTGTTAAAAGTTGAAAAAATGGGCCTTAACTTTGTGATTGCTCCCAAAGAATCATGCGACTGATGCCTTTACTGATCGGTGATCGCTAGATAGTATACTTCAAAATGTTTCCGTTTTTATAACGTAGAAAAAACTATCCTAACATAAAACTAAACCCTAACCCTAATACTAACCCTAACCTAAACCCTAACCTAACCCCAACTTATTTTAAAAATTGATATAAAAACGGAAACCTTATTTTGAAGTATACTATCTAGCAATTGCCCTTTACTGATTTCATGCATATTATCAACCAAACACATTCCTTCTCTGATACAAAGTACCACTTGTCTTTAGCTGTCCTCCCAGCGGGTACATATAAATAGACTCATCACTGCTTCTTCTATGACTATTTCAAATTCCACAGCAAAAAGTTGCATCCTTATTGTGCTCATAAAATTATTAAGCGCGACTATGCTTTTCAGGTTTTCAACCCAAAACATTTAGAACTTCTTGTGTGTACATTTCTCTAAAGTTTCCCCCTATACTCTATCATCGAGTATCTTCGGCTGCTTTTATGCCCTTGAAAAAAATGCAGCTTATATGCAAAGCTTCCTTGACCAGGAATCGGATTATAGAGAGAGCCTAAGCTGTGGAAATGCTGATCTTAATGCATGTCTAACGAGGGTTTTCTTTATGATTAAGTAGAAATACTTTAAATTCAATAGCCAGCCCACGCTTGCTGTCTCAGTAAAACTCATAGGGTGGCGGAAACGCCACTAAAACTCGAACCGTGTAATTGGAAAACCGAGCACACCAACAATAGAGACGCGAGTTTGCCTAAAATTACAAACCCCCGCTATGCCGACTTCGCAGGGTACTGGAGGAAGACAGACGGGCAATTCCACAAAGGATGCAAGTTACGAAACTAATGACGGTTTCACTGCCGCTTTTGACACGCATAACAACAATATCGAGATTGCTAAAACTACAAAACAGGATGAAATGGCTGTAAAAACAACTCTGGTTTCTGTGTTAGGGAACGGGGCTGGATTAGCAGACAAACCCAGGCGGTCAAACAGCGCATGGTTTCAGGCACTGTGCGTTATCGTTGGTGTCATAGCTTTTTTCCTCCTGGTCGCTTTCATAACAGTTTTGCTTTTGTATATCCAGGAGCTAGATGACTCCAAATCCTCTGGTCTGTTTAACAAGATTTGCTTAAAGGATGATTGCATTAGCCGATCAGCAGGTGAGAGTTGTATCGCTCTATTTATTTATCTAATTATTTATTGGAGATTATATAATGTAGTTTTATCTTCGCTTTTGTATCTTGTGATTGATCATAATCAAGGTTACAAACCAATATAATATGCATGTAAATATAATTATAGCAATATAGATTGTTGTTTCAATTGAAGAATCGTTGTTAAACTTGGGGTGTATCGAAAATATAACTACAAATTTACGATACGTATAACTTCGCTTTTGTCTGATGCCAGTAATGGAGAAACGCTTCATCAAATCCAGGGTAACATGATTTATGGTTTAAAAATTTAATTACACGTTATTGAATTAAGGGATCCAGGTGTCTTGATTACCTGCATGTTTTAAAGTCATATATTAGTTCAAACATTGTGAAGGCTAACATACCGAGATTTTGGGCATCTCGTTCGACATGATTGAATGCATAGATGGGATTTTTGTAGATAAAAAATTTTCGAACGAATATTTACATACAATTTTAGGCCTATAATTGCAACTTTAGCCTCCAGCAGGATCGAACTTCCGGTAGCGCTGGTATACAAATCTTCGATCAAAAATTCCATGTACAAATATCCCTTCTAACATAACCTATATGTTGTGCTTGCCTTAAGCTAGCTTGTAATAGTCTGCAGCCTACATACGAGTGATTTTTCTTCGTCAAGTAAAGCTGGTTTACACCATATCTATGCTTTACACCAGTCGAAGCTTTTGTTATCACAGACACAGTAGGAATTTTGGATAGGTAAATTCTGGGTTTTGAAGGATTTGTAACAAGGAACTGACTCAGTATTTAACACGCAGTAAGTTCCCTCAAACACTTCTTTCAAATCCTTAAAAATCCTACTTTGAGCACAGAAACTTTGATAGTGAAACCAGCCTTAATTGTCGAAGAAAAAGGAACGGGGTTCGCGACGCCACTTACCATTTGGCAAGCACAATGGTAAAACCATGCCTCGTCTCAATGGGAAAGGCTTGTCCCTAGGGTCATGGTATTGTTGTTCTATTGTATTTGCCAAGATGACGGCGCGAACCCGACGAAATCGCGTATTCGTCACCAATCTGTATACCCACTACTGTATTTCGTTTCTTTTTGCCTTAAGGCCGCTAAGGATTTATATGAAACTGGTATGACTTATAGGTCGTTCACTCTCATTTCAAGGGATATAATTTTCAATCTAAAATAGTAATTATGTGCCTGACTTTGTGTTCCGGTAGTTCTATCTTGAAAGCTCGTCAGTTCTTTACAAATAGTTTCACTCGACTGATTAAGGCACTTTCAAAATTTGCTTGATCGATACGAACCGAGGTTGATAATGAATTAACTGTAACTAAAACAGGACCCCGCGGTCAGCCTTGAGTTCAAACTCCTCTATTACGTGTATTCAACATATAGGGAGAGTTTATTGTGCCCTCAGTTGATGTAGTTGGCATCCCCCCCCTCCCATACACACACACTCGGTTGGGGCTGGCTACGCCCCGGACAAATAAGGTTAGTGGACAGTGAAGGAAGATTTTCAAAATAGTTCAAAATTGTTAGGATTGAGGTTACGTTTAAGGTAAAGTTTAGGGTAAGGTTTAAGATTGTTATAAATATAAGTGTCTGGTTGTTGATTCTTTCGCGTTTTAACGATCTTGGAAAATAACCACCATCTTGAAAATCTCCTTCCCATCCATTCGTCCAAAGGTGTAGAGCACAAAGCTATAATAAAAGACATCTCACCGTCTGCATCAAAAGTTTAAATCTACTTATTTTGTCAATTGTTTATTGCCGTAATAGGAGTGTCTCAGGTTTATGTCATGATCAGTATTGAGGTTTAAGTAGGATTGTAAAACATTTTCTTCACCATATAGAACTCTTAACCCATAAGAGGAATTTAAGCAAAACTCGACCAAATTAAACCTCGATGACGCACTTGAGCTTAAACTTTTACTGGATAATCAACTGGGACTAAAGAACTAACAACCTTACATTTTACTTTACATTTTAAAACCTCAGACCAACTTCCGCCGCCTTTGTAGACAGATGAGAATAGATATGCCGATATAAGGGACGGCATACCTAATTTTAGTGTGCAGTGATAACCAATTTGTGCAGTGATAAAAGTAAAATGTGCAGTGATAAAATGTAAAATGTGCAGTGATAAAATTTGCTTTGAT